TTTTTTGTCTTTTAAGCTTGCTTTTTCAAATAATTGTAAACAGGACTTTTTTTTGGTTTGATGCTTCCATTGGCCTTTGCTTGCTATCCTGTAGAGCACATGTATTTATGCTATTTAGATCCTATTTCTGAAATGATGATGATGATAATAATAATAATAATAAAGTTGGAAGGGACCTTGGAGGTCATCTAGTCCAACCCCCATTTCAGACAAATGGTTGTCCAGTCTTTTCTTAAAAACTTCCAGTGTTGGAGCATTCATCACTTCTGGAGGCAGGTTGTTCCACTAGTTAATTGTTCTAACTGTCAGAAAGTTTCTTCTTAGTTCTAGGTTGCTTCTCTCCTTGATTAGTTTCCAATGTTTGGGTTGTTGCAACAAACTTCTGCCTCTGAGAGCCACTCAGTGTCTAATATTCCTGAATGAATCTTGTATCATTGGCAGTTGTAAAAAATGCCAATAGTTTATAAAAGAATGCTTAGTTTCAGATCCTTCTTTGAAAAAGACCCCTGAAGATTAAATTATCAACATTCTCTAGCGCCTTTTGAATTCATTACAATTAGTTTAAAACAATTTCCATCCAACAAACAAACATCTCACTCTACAAATTTTTGTTAGCTTCCAAGCATTAAGAAAAAAGCTAGAATCATCTAAGAACTTTGAAAAAAGATACCAAACTAGTCATCTCAGTTGCTATCTTGCAACTTTTTTTTCCTTGGGTATGGACTTTTGTTTCCTACATTGGTCATGTTCTTATCTGTCTATCAATTGGTATCAAGCCTAAACAGTTCAGCTGAGTCCAGCCAGAAAGCCAGTTTTCAATTCACAGAACTCTGCATTAGAGTGGAAGATCAGAGGATCAGTAATTAGTGATGAAGCCATGATTAATATATTAATCAATACAGCTGTACTCTCAGTTGTCATCATGGAACAGATTCTAGTTTTCAACAAACCTTAAATGGAAGAATTCTGGTTCCTCATAATAATATTATTATGCCTGGTATCCTCCTATTATACCCTCGGAAAACTGTCTCCCTGATCATCTTGTGGTCAGATTCTACAATGAAATTCTAGCTGCCAAAAAAAGACTCTTCCTCTAAATTTCCAGTAAAAATCCTTCAATTGTTTCCTGAGGATGCTTCACTGTCCATGTTATTGATTTCTCCTATATTGTATTATTGAATCTCCTGGAAGTCTTGCCATCAGTCTCATGTGTACTTCTCATATTAACATCAGTGTTATGCATTTTTTCATTTCTGATAGGGAGGATTCTAATTCTGATTTTTGTTTGCATCTAATGTCTGAACTTCGTAATCACTAGATCTACATTGCCAGAACTCTAGATTTGATGTTCAACAAAGCCAACTTAACAGTACTTAATTCCTTATGTCAGAGCAACCCAGTCTTATTGTGCTGAGGTAATCCAGGAGTAAATACAGTAAACAGTGGTTTGTATTAAATGGTTGTTTATATTATACTATCTACAATATACACTAGGAATAAAATACATACACGTGGTAATACAGCAAACTCCAACACACAGCAATAAACGAATAAGAAAGACTCCGGCAGAGCCTTCCCTTTTATATCCAGACTCTTAAAGGGATACACACACCTGCTGAGTCATTCTTATCATTGCATCATCCACCTTACATTACATTACATCATTACATAAGCTATTTAGCCTTTAAATCATTATCCTGACACTTTAGCTTCTGCTTTTCATTCTAATTAAACTCTAGTTGCCTATATTCAGTTTTGCTCAAAGGAGCTAATGATGCTTGGAATTGTCTGTCCACTTATTTCCTACTCCAGGAAATTGAAGTGCACATAGACTAAAAGATAAATGCAATTTCTTCTTCCAGCATCACTATCAACATTCCATAACAGCAAAACATAACCAGGAGCAAAATACACATTGTTCTGGTAATTAAAGAGAACAGAAAATTAAACTCAGCAAATTGCCAAACTTATTCAGCTGTTGCATTAGCTATATACAGTATGATATACTAACATTTCTTAAGGATAGCATTTCTCATTACTTGCTTTTAGTCAAGAAAAATCATCCAATACATTTCTGAGGTCTTTACAATGCTAAATACCAAAAAGCCATTCTTAAATATGATTTTTATTTCAGTCCCATACAACTGGTGGCGATCATCTAGCAGCATTGTTCATGACCGAGGTTAGTGAATTTATATAAAAGATTTCGACAAAGATTAGAAATCTTTTTGATGGCAATGAACTATGTAGCTGTACAACTCTCAACTCTGAACTTGGAATTCAAAAATTAAAGACCACAACCTGCTGCATAAGAATAGATCAAATATAATCCAACCTGTTCCTATTTCTAGGATTTTGGGCCTTGGCTAATTACCAGGGGACACTTTTTAAACAACTGGTATACCAATTGCTTTGATGCATCCAAGCCAACAAGCTGGCTATTAATCATACCACATTTCCTTGGAGTACATCAACCAAATTCTCTTATGTCAAATATCTAAGCTTCCTTATTTCAAACCTGTATGCTGTGTCACATACCATAAAGACCATAATCACAGATTCAAAGTGTGTTTGTTTGTCATTTTGTCCTGGAAATTCCCCTTTCAATAGAAACAGTAGTGGAGAGGTGTAGGAGGGAGGGGCCACCATCATTATTACATTACCTTTGATGCTGCAGCTCCTTACCCCATTCAACAGCATTGCCAGCACCATTGCCAGCCTCTCAGGTGCTTTTTTCCAAAAGGCAACTTTTTTCCTTGGTACCTCTCCTTGGTTGGGGAAGAGACATTGTAGTGATTGAAATAAAGGGACGGCTCTAACTCAATCCTGCTGCTGTGAAAATGATAGGTAAGATAGCAATGTGACTCTCCTTTTTAGCCACCTGCTCTCCACTACCTAAACTGTTAGAATTAGTTCTGTCAGTAAAAAAAAAAAATATTGTAACAGGAAATCTAGCAATTGCTAAAACAAGGGACAAATAAAAACCAGCCTTCCCACGCCAAAGGGAAGGCAGGATAGTCCATTGCAAAGAATGGGAAAGAGAGAGGCACAAACAGGTTTGAGTATCATTTCTATATAGATGGCTTGCTCTTGAAATACAGTAGTTACTTTAATTATTTCATTATAGTTTAATTTTCTTCAATAAAAATTATTTCTCCTAATTTTCTTTAGTAAAAATTATTTCTATGGAATTCTTGGATACTTGTCAGTGGGACCAATTAGTTCCAAGCTTGCCTCCTGGATAAAATCAGTGTGACATCAGCTGGGAAGTGGCTCGGAGCTTGAATTTTCTCATCAATGGGATACCCCTCCTGAGTGGTGTGTCTTGTGATTTCCAGTGTTCTATTTACATTCTGACAGAGTTCCTATTTTTACTGACTTCCTGAGGATATATTTTTCATCTCTCTCTCTCTCTCTCTCTCTCTCTCTCTCTCTCTCTCTCTCTCTCTCACACACACACACACACACACACACATCTTGAATCCCCAAGGACCTATGCAAGGGTCCTTTTTGAAGACTTTAGCAGGGCATTTAATATCATCATCCCAGAACTTCTGACTGACTCAGCTAGCTATACCTGTCCACTTATATGTGAATTATAAGCTTTCTGGCAGGTAAAGCCATAAAATCACATTGAATACCCATTCAATTAGCACAGGCGCCCCCTCTCCATATCAATGACCTTCTCCTAATGGTATCTTAAGATTATATTACTTTGTTTGTATGTACACCGAGAGCTTTTGCACTGGAGACAAATTCCTTCTTTGTCCATGAATGAAACATACTACATAAAACTCCAAGTTGACATTTGGAAAAGTTATGTGAAAGTTAATATAGCTACATTTAGTACAGTAATGGCACAGTTAACAAGTTGGAGAGAATATACGTATAAAGAATAAGTAATAGTGCCCTATGAGCATTGACAAGGAATTTATTTTTAAAATAAATTATTTAGTACTGCAAATGTGAAGAAAACATGATTTGATAGCAATGCCAACAGTATATATCACAACAGCGGTATCCTTAAAAAATCTCAAGACATGAAGTTATTGAAACACAGTATTAATCAAGTAAGAGATCAAGTAATGAGTTCTTTCAACAAAATGTTAGAAATATTTTCTTACTGTGATCAGATAGTTTTTATTTATGAGACTTATTTATGAGACTTATATACCGCTTTAAGTGCAAGCACTCTCTAAGCGGTGTACACCAGTAAGCAATGTATATATATATTTACATTGCCCCCAACAATCTGGGTCCTCATTTTACCTACCCCGGAAGGATGGAAGGCTGAGTCAACCTTGAGCCGGTGAGATTTGAACCGCTGACCTGCTGAACACGGTCAGCTAAAGTGGCCTGCAGTACTGCACTCTAACTGCTGCGCCACCTCGGCTCAAAGTTATTAGAATAACTTTATTGTCACTTTAAGTATGTCTTTGCTAATATCTCAAAATGATTAAATGTTGCAATTAATACTAAAATCTATTGTAATAAATAAAAAATGGGGCAAATTAATATAGCCTCCCTTTACTTGATGTTCTCCTGTTCTTGGCCTTTAACTTTCAATAAATCATCAGTTAATGTATCAGCGAGATGATAAACAGGAAGGTACAGCAATTACTCTAAAACATTTAAGAGAGTGACTGCATCAAACAAGGGTAGTATTAATTGTATCAAGTCTGGAATCAAGTAGCCAGAATCCTGGATGCTGAAATGTTGATGCTGTACTAGCACTATAAAACAATAATAGGGTAAGTAGCAGGATAAAAAAAAAGATGCTTTGGGAGCACCTATTATAATAAAGAGGAAAGCAAAGCAATAACTTTAGGCCCCATGTAATTAAGATGACCATGCTTCTGCATTATAGCAAAACTTAAGCAGAGACTTCACTGCTACAAACACAATGTGTACACATACAAATACAAAACATTGTATTTCTATGAAAGAAAAATTCTTCTTGTTCCAAAATACTTTCCCTCTAAAATGGAAGTCATCTGAGATTTGTTAAAATTATTATTTATAAACATTAAGGATCTTTGCAGAGAGATAGAAATCATATTGAATTTAGTAGTCTTTGTTTGGGATAAATATGGTAGATTACAAAGAATGCATGGAGCAGGCAAATAAGCATACTAGTTAAATTCACAGAACTTTACCTAAGGTAGGAACAATACAGCTTTGCTGAAGTCACACAAAAATTCATTAGGCCAATCCTCAACAAATGAAATACGTTGTCTCACATTTGATGTCAGATGTTTACTACATTGATCTAAATCCAATCTTATATGCTCATCATGGTGTATTATCTCTTCTTGACAAATACATGTAGCAAAACCAGATTTTTCCTCAACAATTCCACCACCTATAAGTAATCTTTGGGTAAACTGAATATTATAGAAGTTCCTTAACTTTACAGTTTACATGAAAATACTTATAAGAACAGAAAATGACAAGGAGTAAAAACAAAAAGTCACCAGTTCTTTGGTTATACATCTTGGCTATGACAATTCAGCCAAATGCTTGGACAGCAAAATTGCATACACAAAATTTTAAATCAAAGTTTTTATCATGAGAGAGAAACCATCCCCTCTCCCTGCAAATCTTGCCAAGTGCATGCTGCTGCTTTGGAAAAACAAAAACAAAATGTTCAAAAAGCTTCTGTCTGCTGATCACTCTGGCTGAACATGCATGCTGTGCCATCTTTTACATAATGGAGGGGAAGAAAGTCCAGCAGCTGTTCTTGGCTACCGCTTCCTCTCGCCTTTTTGTGTCCTCTTCTTCTCTTTCTCCTTGCGTTCTTGCTTGGTCAACTTGTCTTTCTCCCGCTGGAGTTTGTCCCGCTCTTTCTTTCGCTGGGATTCATCACGTAGATGTTCTCTTTCCAGCTTACGAGCATTCATAACATCTTCCAGGTTTGTATTTTTGAACAAAGCTAACAAGCACAGAGTTGAGGAGAACAAAGTTTCTGAGCATATAAAGACTTTGACTAAACATACTTGCAACATGCAACTTCTACTTAAGCCATAGAAACAGAGTATAACTTGGAAAACCAATTTCACGTGGTTCTTTGGAAAACTAAATTTAGCATTCAAATCTCAATTCAGACTTGCATTTCTCAGTGAGAAAAATATAACTATCCCTCAATCTACTAAGCTTATTCTGAAGAGAAATAAAGAAAAATAAGAGCATTTAACAAAGTAGAAGATGCAACAGAAATTATCAAGAAAATTGCTGCTGCTGCAGCATGATCTGCACCTAATCAATTAACCCATCAGGAAGACATTGAGGAAAACTGGAATATCTTACAAGAAAATATTTCCTATAATAATTGAAATAAAAGGAAATTCCATTCTTCTTTACCCAAGATTCTCCGCTAGGAACCGAACACTCTTTAAAATTTTATCCCAATATGCTTCCCCATTATTATTCCAAGAATGACTAAATTTAACTTCAAGAACTATCCTACAAAGGATACATTTGTTAGAAGCAATAGGCATTGCTGCTGCTCCCAAATCTTCATGTACATTTACTTCAGTGTACTGAGTTAAGGATAATAAAATATTTGGAATATGGAAAAATGGGCTAAATGCTTATGAAGAATAATGAAGAGACCAGAAATAATATTTCATCCTCCTACTGACATATTCAGAAATAGTTGCCTGTAGTTTTTCCTCCATCAAGGATGGCACTATAGATATCTTCAACCTCCACTTGTTCTTGGTATCTATTAACTACAGATTTCTTAGGAATACAGGAAATTCTATCCCAAACTACCATGGCTAAAATAAAGAACTTATCAACACGAGTGTGTTTAGTCCATGCTAAAGTCATTTAAATTATTTTGAAGTAGCTTACTACTTAATGGTGTACCTTCAATAGTACTTATCATATGGGTATACAACCCTTATTATTTTTGACATAATCATAAAGATAACATCTGTTAAATAGATGATAGATAGAATAATGAGATTCCATTCTTTTCTGATTAAACCACAGTTGGTTATTAGTTATCCTTGTCCAATCATTATGGAGTATCTTTGCTCTGACCCACATTTAAAATTCTTGCATACATTCTACTCTAAATTTATAGGTTATGACAAAAACCTAGCTAATCAAAGAATACAATTCACCCCAGCCCTGAGTCACTGAATCAGCCAGCTAAAGAATAGACACTTTCAGAACTTGAAGCACAGAAAAGATATTCCTCATCATCTGTCACTTCAGCATATTGTGCCAGGAGAGCAGCTTTCTGAAGTGTATCCTCCTTCAAGACCTCTTTAGGTTTCACGACAATCTGTGCCTGCTTTTCAATTATGTTCGTAATGGCTTGGATCTCATCTGGGGAGGAAAGCAAGAATAAGTAATTATCAAGTCCATCCAAGAAGTCTTTGTTTTCCTTACATGTGAACATGATGCTTTCCAGAAGTCAGTTATTTCCTCCAATTTGAATGTAATGTTTAAAAAGTCAGAATTATAACAATAAATTTATTTACAGCCTGAGGTGAAATACAGTAATTCCAGAAAGATAATACTATTCAGAAAAATAAAAACAATGAAAAATGAAATGAAATAGAATAAAAATAAAATAAGAGACTGCACAGTTGAGTACAGGAGCCAGTGTCATGAAATCAAAATAGTAAAAAAATTACAAAGGTGATAAAAAGTAATTTTCGCAATGAAAATCATGCAAAAGAATCTACATCCAAGCAACACCTTGAATACCATAGAGTGCCATTTAATACCTTCTTTCTTCTCACTGATTTCAACATCTTGGGCCTCTGACCACTTTTCGATTATTTCTTTACAAACTTCTTGTAATACATCTTCATCCTGATCAAGATCAGAGAAATTACTGTTGAATCAAAATCTTATCTAAAACAAAAATATAATTCTATATGTTCTGTAATCTGAAATCCATTAAAGATGCAAATCTATACCTTTTTATAATTATGTGTGTAATTATTATGTTATCAATGGTTGCAAGTGTGTCTTAATAGGGAAGGCCTTAATGCTAGTTGATGCCAAATTTATCACAGAGCCTAATCATTTAGTGAAGGAACAGCTCATAAACAGAATTATATTTTAGACTATGGACTAATTTATGGACTGCTTCCTAATAAAAACTGGATCGCTTGAATTGTAGCAAGAGAAAAATAGAACAAATAAATATATGATTACAGAATAAGAGAGAGGTAACTTAGAATTTTGTGACTCATAAGAAAGTATTTTGAAACAGTTACATAAAAGCAGATGATAGGCTATGAATGCAAGTACCACTTATTCAATGGTACTTTGATACAGGATTGCAGCATTGCCACAAACAGACTGGTATGTTATTAGGCTTTTTAAAAAAAATGGAAATCAAAAGAAAACATTCTTGAACTGTAGTCCTGAGACAGAAGAGACTCAAAATGTTTGAGGCAATCAAAAAGATTTTGAAAGTAAGATGGGTGGTTTCTAAATTTGATTGATAAATAAGTAACTTTCACACAGTTCCAATCTCAAAAAATTGAACTATTTTCTTGCAGATATGTTTCCAACTACCAGCAACCAAGTTGCTATTTTTGTTCTCTTATCCCTTAGAACTCAAAAAGAAATGCATACATTCTTAGCTGTAGGCTTGGCTTTATTTCTGTACCCTTTTTACATCTAATACTTCTTTTATTATTGTTACAATCTTAGTATTTTACTGCTACTGTAGTTTATGGCACACTATATGGTTTGATCTGTGGTTGCAACGATAAACTTACTTACATTAAGACTTTTCAAAACACTTAATACAATCTTGACGAAATCAAGGACAGAAGAATAGAACCTCCTATTTGTAATGTAAGGAATGAGGATGTTTGATAAGAAACCCAGACTCTTGCCTAAACCCATTCAGTAAACATTAGGAATAAACAAAATTTGAACCTAAATTTGAAAATATAACTTGTCACGTGAATAATAAGTAGAGATAAAAATTAAAACTACACTCGGTGCAATCCACCTAAATAATAGTTGTTCCTGGAATTCATCATGCGCACTTTGGATATATTTTACACATACGGATAAAATGTATCCCAAAAGACAGGAGAGATACGAAATCCATTTTGATAGTGTCATAGGAGAGGGAAGGAAGAAAAGGTGGGAGGGAGGGAGGAAGGAAAAAAAATAGCTACGGAAGCCGGTCAGGACCAATTAGCCGTCATTCTCACCTGTTCCCCCGCAGCCAAGGCCCCTGCTAGCCCTTCTAGCCGCTCTGCATCGCACTCCGCTTCCCGCAGTACGCCTCGTATATATCCACAATACACATCTCCATCTAATCCCAGGGCCTCGAGACGACTCTCAAGCCAATGCTCAAAAGCGCAGGGCGCCGCCATATTGGGTCATAACCTGCCCGAAGTAGCAGCCGCGAATTAATACACATGCGCAGTGCTCCGGCGGCGGAAGTTCGAACAAAGTGTTCGGATTGGAGAGTACGCTTCGGAAAAAATAAGATTTGTCGTTTGGTAACTCGACAGAAAATAGTATGAGTGCAAGCTTTTAATTTAGCGGTAATTGGGTCTGAAAAAGTCTTGTTTTCAAAGGAAGGAGCAACAAGCAGTAGGATTTACTGTTTTTTTCTAACTTGGGAGTGTTTTACTGTTGCATTCTTAGGGATTTTTTTTTTTAAAATTTCAATTTAACCTACTGTCAGGCTTTACACTTGGACTTAAAAATAAATCACGAATCGTAGCTCAAGTGTTTAGCTTGACTTGCAAACATAGTCACCAGTGTTCAGCTATATTGCATGTACATACATATACATACAGAATAGAGTTCGAAGGGACCTTAGAGGTCTTCTAGTCCAACCCCTTGCTCAAGCAGAAGGCCCTATACCATTTCAGACAGTGGCTGTCCAGTCTCTTAAAAATCTCTAGTAATGAAGTACCCACAATTTCTGAAGGCAAGCTGTTCCACTGGTTAATTGTTCTCACGGTTAGGAAATTTCTTCTTAGTTCTAGGTTGCATCTCTCCTTGATTAGTTTCCATCCATTGTTTGATTGCATTAGCTTTTTGGGTTGCTGCCGCACATTGGTGACTCATATTTAAGTGATCGTCCATTAGGACTCCAAAGTCCCTTCCTGTTTTTGAGCCAGGTTTCATCTAATCTGTAGTTGTACCTTGGGTTTTTCCTGCCTAAGTGTAAAACCTTTTCTCTACATTAAATTTTGTTGGATAGGGTCCTTTTTTCAAGTCTGTCAAGATCCTTTTGATCCTCAGCTTATCAGGATCCAAAAAACATATGAAGTTATACACATTAGTTTTATCCTCCCCAATATAAAGATGTCCGGAGCTTTTATATTTTCTAAAGAGTTTAAACTTGATGCTTCTTATAACTGGTGTGTCCTGTACAAATACAATACTAGCAAGTATTAAACAAATTAGATTGCTTAGATTTTTGAGACTGAATAGGAATTGGCACCTAATGGGAATCTAGAGTACATACATATTGAAAAAAACAATAGAATTACAGGCTCATTCAAATCAAAGGAATATAAGATATTGTGCGAAGTCAGCCCCCACCTCCCTGAGAAAGAAATATTTTGGGGAATATTAAAAGGCAGAATATTATATCTCCCCAAAGGATCTTAAAGGCAGACCCCCCCCCCAAGTCTTTCTGCACCAAACAGAAACCAGGTCTGCAGAAATGCAGATGTGATAATTTTGTCAGAAAGATTGGAGCCAGGAAGCTGGGAGTAGAAAGACAAAAGATCCCTAGAATCAACAATCCTTCACACACACACACCCCAAAAAACCCAACATAGGATATAGTCATCAGCCACAGCCCCAAGGAAGCAGTATATGACCTTTGGGACATAATGGGATTAACTGACCATCAGAATACCAGAAAGACCACTCAGACTCAGGTCAAACTTCATGCCACAGGAACAACTCCAAACAAAAGCTCAAGAAGGTATAAAAACCCACCACTCTTTATTACATGTGGTCAGCTTTCTCAGAGCCATGCTTTGCTCTTCAATAAATTACAACCTTCTTTCTAAAGCAGCCTCCATTTTGTTTATTCCCTGCTTGGACTGGACCCTGATGAAGATTTTTCAACAGTATGTAGTTCACTTCAGAATTTAAACTAGAAAGGAATCTGGTTAAAGGTCTTTTCCCAAAATGTGAGATCCAGATGTAGTCCATCTAGAACAGTGGTTCTCAACGTTTGTGTGACGGCGACCCCCATCACACAAACGTTCTGCGCATGCGCGGTGCTGCGCGCATGGGGGCGCCGCCGCCCCCATGCGCGGTGCACATGCGCGGCGCTGCCCCCTGAGGGGAGAAAATGGCAGATCGCCTTCTTTGGCGACCCCCGAAAAATGGTCGATTGACCCCAAATGGGGTCGCGACCCATAGGTTGAGAACCGCTGATCTAGAAGTATTTAAGTACTGTACTGTTATCAGATCTGAGCTGCAAAAGTCTGAACCATTAGATGGCAAAATATATCTTACTATGTCTCTTTGTTGCCATTTAGTATTCATCTGGATATTTGCAGGTCAGAATAAGTGCCTATATTAACCACTTTAAGCTTCATGGGAAGCAGAACCACAAAATACCCAATACATTTACTCTATGATATTGTATAAATTTAGTTTATATTGTTATTTTGTGGTTCAATGTGTTTTGTGAACTCAAACTCATTAAACTGGGTTTCTTAGTGAAACAATCATTAATCACTTTTCCCAGATGCAGTATGGTAAGGTGACCAACTTTTTTACAATGAAAAAGAGGACACAAATAAATTGAAGAAAAAAATATTGTAAATAAAAGAAACATTTTATTCATTGCAACAATAATACAGAATACACAACAATATGATAAATGCATAATAAAAAACATTTGTAAAAATAACATTTTATATTGTGATTATGCTTACATGCTGCACCCCCACCTGCAGCCGCCCTGCCAGCACTGCTGCTCCGCCGTGTAGAGCGGGCTCCGTGGCTCCTAAAGCACCAGCTGCACCAGCTCTGGCCCCGGGGGGGCAGCCTGCCATCAACACACCCCGCCTGCAGTCGCCCCGCCAGCAGCCGCCCCGCCAGCACCACCACCCACCTTGCACAGCCCCATGTAGAGCAGGCCCCGTGGCTCCCATAGCACAGGGGGCAGCCAGCCACCGTCGCCCCTCACACCCCCGCCCGCAGCAGCTCTGCCACCCCTGCCTCTTGTGCCCGCAGTCATTATTGCCCTAGCAGGGCCGAAGATCAAGAGAAAGTTACCATGGCGTCGCCACTCCAGTCTCATCCAGGTATCTTCGGGACTAACTAGGAGATGGGGTAGTTGGGTAGCAGGGGGGGGGTGCAAAGTTCCTGCCAATTCGCCTTCGCTGCAGACAACTTACAGATGCAAAGTTTGCCGGTTCGGTGTTTTGGCGCACTCAGTAGCAATTCCTATTGGCTTTCAAAAGCCAATAGGGGGAGTAGCACAGCTCATGCAAAAGTTGAAAAAAAAAAATCAAAAAAGATGCCGGAACGCCATTCTGAGCATTCTATGAGAAAAAAAAAGCCCTGCAGATTAGTCTTCAAATATCGAAAAGGAGGACATGTAGGAGGACACTTTTCGAGGGAGGACAGAACTCACAAAAGAAGGACTGTCCTCCCTAAAGGAGGACAGTTGGTCACCTTAAATATGGTAGTTATTTTCATAAACAATGCTATCTTTAGATATTTAGAAACTGTTTATACCATTTCAAATACTGTAGTTTAGGATTTTTAATTCCCAGAATTCATCACCAAACGTTTGGCTAAAAAATTTAATTCTCACAATCGAAACCATTTGGAATGCATCAGATTAGAAAAAGCTCTTCTAGGCACAAGTGTTTTGCTTTACAGCATGCTATCTTCCAATTTAACTTTTTAATATTTTTTTTTTAAATTAGGCAAGGACAATGATGTCTGGGGAAACAATAGGACCTGTTCTGTATTATTTACTCCTGATATGTGTGTTGGCTTATATCAGTGGTATTCAAACAGTATTCTAGGATTTAATGAAAATTATCCAGGCGTTCCACATCGTATTTTCTCTTTATATTGTAGGAAATGTATTATTACTTTGTAACAATAATAATTTTATTCAAATGAAATGCATTACATGAAAGATATTTATTAGATCCCAGTAGAGAATAAAAATAAACACAGGACAGAAAATAAAAGCTAATAAATAGGCAAATAATAAGGACAAGAGTGGAACATTAGAAATCAAGGAAGAATAGGATTAATAAAGAGGCAAATCTTAACAAGGCAAATCTTAATAAGGTAGGGAAGAATTGGAGCTCAAAAACTTAAAAAAAACAGGGAAGAAAAGGATAAATAAAACTAACATAATAGTAAGAAAATTAAATAAATAACAAGGTAAAAAAACAAGCACACACAGGCAGAAAAAAGGGTTAAAAGATATTGGACTGGGCTGAAATGGACAGACTTACATTGAGGATCAAAGAGAAAGAAGATACAGAATATTTTCAAAAATGGAATTTATTTTATCAATGGTTGGAAAAAAGGGGTAGAGACTAAGAATGTAACTTTTATTATTAAGCAAACAAATTAACCTAGACAACACAATGTTTATTAAGCACTAATCAAATTTAATAATAGAAAATTAATTAAAAAATTGAAAAAGAAAAAAAGATAACAAAAATAGGTGTAATTACCTAAACAGAGAAGGTAGAAACAAGACTAACAGCAAAGCACATCCACCAACCCAAAAAAGAGGGATTTTCAAACAACAAACTCATGGAACAAATGACTGATACTATTGTGGTATGCAATACATGTTCCATGTATGTGCTTATACCCAAAGAACACCCAAATTATACATGCATTAAATGTAAACTGTACGAACTATTAGAGGAAAAAGTAAGGGATTTAAAGGCAACTCTAGACAAACTCCATCCTACGCAAGAAAGCTATATCCATATTGAACCAAATAAAGAACAAATAACTCTCAGAGGTAAACCCTTGGGGTTAAAATAGAGGTATGTCACACATAGAATGAAACAAAATAATCAAAGA